TCTTCCGGAGCCAAATCTGGAGAGCGAGTTTTGACCAAAACAACATATAATTGTTTGGAAACTGGCACAGAAATCCTGGCACATGCATGCAGGTTGGCACATGATGCCATCTTGCTGAAATTACGTGTCTTCTTCGAACACCCCCCCCCCCACCAACTCTCTCCCCAAATTAGAGATTTCGGAGTACAGTCTTCTAGAAACTTTAAAGAACAGTGTGAGGTAGAACTGAGTTTAATTTCCAATTTCTAAGTTCGAGGCTGAAGCGCCGGTCTCTGTCACTTTGAAGCCGAGGAGAGAGAGAGAGAGAGAGAGAGAAGATGGAATGGGAGGAGTAGCGATAGGCACTAATGTTTTAACGGCCGGGGAGGGGGGGTATAATGTTTTTATTTGCGATTAAGGATGTCCCCAGGCAGTGCCCGCTTGTCCTTCTGGTAGAGGTAGGTTTAGCGAGGCAAAGGCATTTGGAAGTGGAGCAAGGAGAGACGTTGAGTAGTTCCTTGCTGTGTTCGTGTGTGATTTTGAATTTTGATATTATACTTGAGAGAACGGCAGTGAAAATTTTGATGTTGAGGTGGGGGGGTTACTTCAGGGCTGAATTTTGATGTTAACACTGAGAGGGTTACATGGGAGGCATTCAGTGTAAAGTGACTTTTGGATACCAACTCAGCATTTCCTACAGGGCCGAGGAAAACCACGGAAACAGAAGCTAGTTAAATCATATTTAAGAAATTGCCCCGTACCGCAAAGAAAACGGTACACTTCACCAGTACCAAGATCAGTTGATATATGTAAGACTTGAGGTTCTCACAGCGGTGAATATGAAGATTTCTGTCTTCTGGGTTATTGCGCTGTGTAGTCTGGTCGATGTTAACCAACGTTTCAGAGGTCATACTGCCTCCCGACCAGACTACACAGCGCAATAACCCAGAAGACAGAAATCTTCAGTTGATATATGCTGTTCAAGGAAGTTTAAACCGGGAGTCATACAAAGCCCATGCATATAAAATACAGTCATTTATTGCTAAAGACGGTGGCATATATGTTCCTAGTTGTCGTTCGGCTTTAAAGCATAAAGTACGTGTATGTTCATTTCGTGAGTAGTTTTTCGTTCAGGTATGCATTTAAAGGTGTAACTATCGTTACGTAATTAAAAGAATTGCCGTTTATTGCACTGCAGAACTCAGTTTAAAATTTCTCCGTCATTTTTAATTGTAGGACTACACCCCCCCCAAATACAAAACAATAGACTATGTGATTAAAATATTAGGGCAAAGCCATTGCTTTCAAAGGCCTGGCTAATCGAGCCCGCAGCCACACACGATGTTTCCGTCCGAAGAAGCCCGAATAAGACCGATGATGTGCGAGTGGCCAGGCGACCGTGCAGTCAGGTATGTAGCTTAGTGTTGTTGACATCTGCCGCTGTGTTGTTACTTCAGGTATGTGGTCTTGGTTCGCAACCCTGGGAATGCCGGTGTAAACTGTGTCTCTCTCTTTTACTGGGAAACTCGTAGAGATGATTCAGCGGAGACAAGCACGGTGCTACTTGTAGGTGTTAAACTTCAATTCCTACGTTGTTTATCATAAGTGTATATAGACTAGTGGCTTCAGTTGGTGTGAGATGGAAATGTGAGACCTCGCCCGCTTCGTATGTGTAAGTACAACTGAAGTGCTTGGTGCCAGGGTGCGGATGTTTCAATTGGCAACGTCAGAATCGGGACCTGCCACAACTCGTGGGCAGTCGCTGTGTATTATTTATTACTATTACGATAGTAACATTCACGAAGACTGTTTGAATTTGGCTCTTTGCATGCGTGGAAAATTGGACAGCGATATTACTGTGGTTGTTTTTAAGACTTAGGCGCAGAGGGGGTGGTAACACGTAAATGGGTATCAGTAAAGTGGGTTTTACGGGTGTGAACTTGGCTCAGGATAGGTTTAATGGCGAGATTTTGTCGTCACGATAATGAGCTGTCTAGTTTAATAAGAAAAGGCATCCTCTTGATCAACTGAATAACTGAATGACCACGGAGTATCAGCTCATTCGGCCCCCAGTTGACCTTCGTGCCGTCACGCTCCGTGATCCTCCGCTGTTTTTCTCACAACGTGGGGATTCACGGCATCACCACTACAAAACCATGGAGTAGTGTGCAGCACCCAGCGCAGTGTCTGCGGGCGGTTAGCGTTGTTAAGGTTTTTAACATTTTAAAACCCATTTGTAAATATATGCACCATCTGCTTTAACAGTTAGTAACTCTACATTTTGCCCACAGAATATATTTTTGGATTTCTATATGATTCCCAATGTAAACAGGAATTATTTCATTAACCGGCGTTAAACAATTTATATTTACAATTGAGATGCGTTATGTTCTTTTGAGGCAAGGATTGAATTGTTATATGTTATTTAGATAAACTTTTACTTCAAAGAGTTAAATCAGAGGATGGGATATACATTGACACGCACTGCGTACATCATGTCGGTTTAGGAAGATACCAGTAGTCAAAGGAGAATAATATTAAAACTAATATTACTGAAACACGTTGCCAAAGTGCGAACAAGACTTATGAGGAGCTCGTGATGGTGGTGGACGCAACTTGGCGTCCTAGAAGTACAGGAAGCATTCCGAACTGTTTAATAATTATCGAGGAGACAGACCTACATGGCTGGGTGTGTAGCTAGAAAAAGGGAGATGGAATGCACACCTGGCTTTGGTGGGGAAACCGCTTACGAAACGTCCGCATGGAACACAGAGAAAAAGATGAGGGTTAACGTTAAAATGAATCTGACTGATACAGATTGTGAGATAGGACTGAATTAGGATTATGTCAGCCGGATAACGTTGGTGTTCGGGTTCTGCTATCACAGTATCCGTTTGTTGGTTTCCCAGCGTTACGTGGGTCCCCTGTCACCGTGGCAAATGTTCTTGAGGTTGCAGATGGGGGAGATGGCCTCCAAACACGTGATGAGGCAGGTGCAATAGTAATTGTATCAGAATCCAAGTAAAGAAATGGAGACAACTTTAATAATGTAAGAGGTGAAAGAAGTGTAACTTTGAGGAACGAAAAATGGAATTTCTCGTAAAGTGAGACTCAGTGAGCTTGTATCAAAGAGTACAAAAATATCAGAAGCATGAATTAACTTATGGTAGGATTGTAAAGATGAGAATTGTTATTAATATTTCGAATAGGTATCATCTTTTGAATGTAGGCTACATGACTGTAGTAATTATCGTGGAATATGAATTATCAAGTTTATACAAATTTCTGTTGGAATATTCAGAGAATGAAATTTGCCAGGTATTGATCACATTCCGTGCAGAGATGAGATGGAGACGGGATTTCTCTTCTGTTCTGGCGTTGAAATCTCTGTTGTCACATGTGATTATTGAAACAAGATACTGGAGACCGAGAACTTGTCAGGGACAACACTCTGTATGCCCTACGCTAGATTTAGTGCCTCTTCGAATCTGTGATGTTTCGAGTACTCAGGCGCCACCTTGACTCTTCCTAGGCGACGTGTCCCAGTGCAACGGGAGATACCTAGGCTGAACGGCGTTTCCCGTACTAATTTAACTATGTAACTTTTGGAATCCTGAGGTACCGCTGGTAGGTACCCTAAACATTTTGTAAGAGCGTCAGGCATTAAATTGAAATAAATTTGCGTATTTTTATTCTGAGCGACCTCTATCTACCTTTCTGCTACTGGAACCTCTTTACTTACTGTTGTTATACTTAAGTTTCTTGTTGTTTCGTTGAATTTTGGTAGAGATTGCTTAATTTTTTCTTCTTTTTGTGGCGACTGAATTTTTCATCCGTGTTTACAAGGATCATAGTATTCTAATTTTTATTATAGCTGTTTGGAGCAGGGGTGTGATGCCAGTTCATTAACAAGGGCCTCACACCAGCAAGCTGTATTTTCTTTCTTGTATTTGTCTTGGCGTTTAGAAGTAGGGCCGGGCAAGATATATCGATATTCTGATACTGGTGAACCGCCGCTGTAACTTGATATATCCTGTGCCGATAACAAAGCGTTCGAATAATTAGCCAAAAAATTATATGGGGTCGAGTGAGTCCCTCCGAGCCCCGTGAAGCCCACACCAGGTTTGAAGTACCAGTTGACGGTTTCTATATTTCTCTTTGCTTTAAAATTGTTAAATACAAATCCATGAGGAATAAATTTCTATTATAATTGAACGCACTGTGATATATCACAAAGAAGCTGACGTAAAATACCAGATGATTATAAGTGTTGCGGATGGGAGAAACGAACCACACAGTTAGAGGCCGAGCGAGAAGTGCTGGCTGGCACTTGCGCAAAGGACTGATTTTTGTCGTATGAGATGGAGCCGTCCGAAGCACGCGCTAGAGGGGTGTCAGCTTGTGTTAGTTTGTAGCTCTAGCTGAGGCCGTGCGACCCCCACTACTACTGAACTCCCCTCTCTCGGCTTATACATCGCGCATTTAGGTGCCATCACTACTCGCGCGACCTATACTCGGTTAGAACTGGCGTGTATTTATATCACTTCATTTCACCGTTAAAAATTGTTTGTCGAAAAGCTTCCCATTGTACAGTAGTTTAACGTGATACCCTTGATTTTTGTCACAGATGGAGAAGTTTTAATCGTGCGAATGTGTTAATGCTATGATAATAATGTATTCAGTACCAGCACTTTCGCCCAGAACTTCTCTTTAA